AGCTGTTAGGTGGTTCCATAAATTATAGATCATGTTGGACTCTTTCAATAACAGAATGGTGGTCCAATAATAGCAAGAAGAGATGGTTATGACAGCAAGGATAAGAGGCTGCTAAATCACCAATGACCTGGAATGTTGATGTGGAGCTGAAGTTAATTCCTAACACCCCCTTTCAAGCTGGAGGGTGCACAAGTAACTCCAAACTTGTCCTTCAGGAAAGGAAACCTCGAGTGATTCAGTCATTTAGTTAGCAAGTCTGCAAGTTGATCTGAGGTAAGAATATATTTCACTTCAAGCTTTCTTGCAAGCACTTTGTCTCTGATGAAATGGATGTCCAGCTCCATGTGTTTTGTTCTGGCGTGATAGACTGGATTTGCAGCAAGAGCTCCTGCACTCATGTTATCACACCACAGAATTGGGATCCCAACTAGTGGAAGCTCAAGTTCCTGAAACAGTGACTGAATCCACGCCACTTCTGAAGCAGTTGAAGCCAGTGCACTGTACTAAGATTCTGTGCTTGAGCGAGCCACTACATGTTGTTTCTTTGAGGACCAAGATATCAGATTGTCACCCAAGTAGATGCAGTAACCCGTTGTTGATCTTCTATCATCTGGACAAGAAGCCCAATCTTATGTCAAAAAGTTAGTGAAGATTCTGCATTCCCCACCCCAATCAGCGTGCAGAGTCTTTATTTTGTGATTTAATTTGTTTTCAACAAGCCTTTTAAAATGGCTAAATGTCCTCAAGGCTTCTGATTTCAATTTTAACGGGTAAATCCAGGTAAACCGGCTGTAATCATCTAAGAAGGTGATGTAGTATTTAAAACCTGAGGTAGACAATACAGGTGCAGGTCCCCATATGTCAGTATGTACTAGTTCTAGAGGTGCATTAGCATGTGATGAAGACAGTGAGTAAGGCAACAAATGAGACTTGCCAAGTTGACACGCATTGCAAAAGGATTTAATGGCATTTTCTTTAATTTTCAGGTTACAGACTTTGAATACTTGGGTCATTACTTGGCTGGATGGATGACCAAGCATTTTGTGCCAAACATTATCATCTAAAGACTCTTGACTCGAATCAACAAGGAAAATAACAGATGACTTTTGACTGGAATTAATTGAAGACTCTTGATTGGTAGAAGCAGAAAATATATTGCAGTGGAACTTATTTGGAAGACTTGACTGGTGTGGAGTTTGCTTGATGTTTTGATGAGAGAAATCCAGCTGATACAGCCCATCCTTAAGCCTCCCTTATAGCATCACCTCCTTCGTTAACATGTCCTTAACAAAACAACAAGTAGGGTGAAATTCCATGAAAACTTTGTTGTTTGAGGTCAGTTGTGATACACTAATCAGATTCTTCTTTATTTCAGGCACAAGTAGTAATTTGTTTAACACTAGTGTTTTATCATTTAGGGCAGAAATATGTGAAGTTCCAAAATGTGAAATATTCAACTTACTTCCATTTCCCACCATGATTTTCTCCTTACCAGTGTACTCACTTGTTGAAGCAATGTTTCCTTTTTTAAATGTAATGTGGTTGCTGGCTTCTGTGTCAGCAAACCATGCTGGATCATTCACTATGTTTGGAGATGCTATGAGGGCTGCAGGTGGTGAATTATAGTTTGTCCTCTGGTTTGGTGAAGTGGCAGTGTATCGTTCATCATATCTAAAGTTATAGATGTTTGCCTTGTGACCAACCTTTCCACAAACTTGGCAAATTGGTCCGTCACTTCCGAATGAATTGGCTCCCCTGCTCTACCTCTACTTCCACTTCTGTAGTGGCTGAAATTTGTGAATCTTCCTCCCATATCTGGCCTATTAGACCTGAAGTGACTGTGACCAAAACTTGATCTCAGAGATATGTTGGCTAAGGTTTGATCAAGGTTCAAACCTACCATTTCATTTCTGATTGAATTGAGGTGTTCCAGTCGACTTTCATAAGTCATCAATGTAGATTGAAGTTCTCCCCAAGAGATGTGATCTCTGCCGTTAAGTTGAACAACAATTGGCTTATAGTCTTCATCAAGTCCTGCCAAAACTTGGGTGATCAAATATGTCCGAGTGATAGTTTTGCCTGCAATCTCCAGATTATCAGCAAGTTGTTTCACCTTGTTCAGGTATTGGTCTATGTTCAAATTTCCCTTCCGTGTTTTCTGAAGTTCACGAATGAGAAAGGTTATCCTTAACTTATTTTGAACTCCATAGCTTTTTTCAATGGCAGTCCAGAGTTCATTGGAGTTTGTTGCACCCATTACTCTCATTGTAATATCTGGAGTCATGGAGGAGTAAAGTCACCCCAATCAACAGCTGATCTGTTGACATCCATTGACAAAATTCTGGGTTCTTCATTTCAACACTGGTATCAGCTTCACCAGTGATTTGAGTACCAGCAAATTCTTGAGGATACACCTTTGTCCCAAGAATATGGCCTTCCAGATTATGTCCTCTGATAATTGGGAGAATCATGTTCTTCCACAGTAGATAGTTATTTTTATCCAGCTTCACACACACGGTTTGAGTCAAGTTAATACTGAATGGTGAGAGCTGATTGTTTCCTAGCAATGGTGCAGCAATGCCGCTGGAGAAAGATGCTGGAGCAGTTG